CCTGAGGCATAGCCTTTTCAATGAGACCTTGCAGAGTTCAAAACCAGAACAGCCAGGGACATGATTGCAATGATGGGGATGCACGTTCCTTTGAAAAGGGGTCTGGTCTGAGGTTGCCAAAGCATCCGTCACTGCAAAGCCCATGGGTCAAAGTTCTACACTCACACATAAGGGGCAACCATGAGTTGGAGTCAACCACATCAGGTCTTCTACCAGGTCCTGGTGCTGGGCTCCATACTTTTACATACAGATGGTAGATATTCATTCTTAGAGCAACGTTGTGTTTTTAGTATTGTTGTAAGTAATTCATAGGATATTCTAACTAAACCATAATCTACTTTGCCAAGGGGGCGCTGAAGCTCCAAGAACAAGAGAATGTGTGTGTGTGTGTGTGTGTGTGTGTGTATGTGTGTGTGTGTGAGGAGAGAAGAAAAGCATGCTGAGGGGTCTGAGTGACATTAGCTGATAGTAAGAGTTGGTCTTCACGAAGTACTTTCTATGATGAGACCACTTTTTGTGTGGGTTGTTTCAATTATCCATCCCAGCAACCCAGTGAAGTCAGTACTATTATGGGTCCCATTTTACATAGGAAGTGTTGAAATAATCAGCCCAAGTTATCCCAGGTAAGTTGTGGCCCCAATTGGAATGAATCTAGTGTCCCCAAGACACTCTATTATTCATACTAACAAAATGGCTGCAGGTGTCTCTCTGGTTTCCTATTCTTGCATTAGGACATGGAAACTGTAAAACTTTCATTTTTAACTGTGAATGAGAAATCTACAGAACTCCCTTTCCACACTTCAGGTTATAGATCCAGAGAAACCAGTGCCTAGTTTGGAGACCGGTTGAATTCCCTCTGTTGCTCCAATTTTCTCAAAAAGCAGCTGTTCATAAGGAATTTAAATGCTGAAAGTTCTTTTCTAAGTTAAAGCACCTTACAATAATCAACACATGGAAGACAGAGGAAAGTTCTATGCCTGGTTTAATAAAATATACTTTTCTCATAAAAATATTTTGATAGCAGATAAAAGGAGATATGTGCTCATTAAAGTTTAATGAGTTGTCTCTCCCTGCCATTTTCTATATGAAAATTACACACTATGACTCATGCCTAGTGTGAGTCGGGATTATTTGCTATAATCGTGAGCACAGTTTAATCCAATCCCAAGCTTTATGGGTACAAGGATGAATGAAATCCCAGACAGGATTCAGTAAGACATAAGAACAGGTAGCCATCAGAGTAAATGCCTTGGCTGACAATGGGGGTTTTTCACCCAACTTGCAAGGTAGTAACTAAGACTTGGTTTCAGACAGGTGGACCTAATTTTTTGTTGTTGTTGTTAGTTGGCTTATTTTCTCTGTAAAGAGTTGCCAGGCACTCTTTTGGGAAATGACACTCCATCCCAACTCCCGGAAGATAATGCTCTGAGCAAAGGTTAGGAAAAGAAGGGAGAAAATAATGAGGTTTCATCTCTTGGGAGGGCCAGTTGATAGCCTAAAATATACACTGAATTCTCTTTATCCATAGCGTCTATCACAACTCTCTCATCCTAAAATTTTAGGCTCTCTCAAAATGGCTCTAATCTTCCTTTAGTTCATCTTTAATGGCTAGATGCTGTTAAATTGGCTCTGACTTATTGTGATAGGTTTTGTGTCAACTTGGCTGGGTCAGGATTCTCCCATGATGTGATCTAATATAATATAATCAACTCCATAATGTGATCAGGTATGGGAAGAAATGGTGGAGTGCTACCAGTCTTGATACAATTGAAAGGAAATTTCATCTGGGATGTAGCCTGCTTTTACATAAGTTGACACTGCGGCAACACTAGCTTGCTTCTTTCTGGTCCAGATTCTACATCTGGCTCATTGACCTCCCAAACCTGGGTGCTATCATTGGCCTGCCATATTGCCGGCTGACCTTGGATTCATTAAACTCTGAAACCATAAGCCTGATTCACTGACCTTTAATTCATCCAACTCTGCTTCCATCAGCCTGTGGTCTTCCTGCTTTCTAGTTCACTGACTCTGGCAACTATCTGAGTCAGAAGAAACCTCCAGCTTAACACCTGACCCACAGTCTTGAACCAGACTTAAATTAACCACTTCTATAACTGTGTGATCCATTTTTTGGTATATTCTGGCTCTCATTCATATCTATCTATCTATCTATCTATCTATCTATCTATCTATCTATCTATCTATCTATCTATATCTGCTTCTCTAGAGAACCCAGTCTAATACACTCATCTATAAGATTTTCAATGACTTATTTTTTTGGAAGTAGGTCACTAGATCTTTTTGAAAGGTAACAATGAATAGATGCCAACCTCCAACCTCTCAGTTAGCAGTCAGGGGCATTAACTGTTAGTGCCACCCAGAGACGCTATCATCCATTGAGTCATTTAATAGTCACAGAAAACCTATGACGTAGGTGTTGCCATTATCTTTATTCTACAGATGAAAAAGGAAGCTAATTATTGAAAGACAAAACCTGATCAGGGCCTTTCACAACTCAGTAACACCTGGTTGGCTTTGAAGAGGTGAGGTGCTCAGCCTAGGTATACCCCTTCACAAGGTTTTCTTAGGGACAATTTATGTTAAGATGCCTTATGTCTTTCCTGAACTAACTTGACATTGCACGGGACCAGAATAGACATCTCTCATGCTTGAGTCCCAGCCAAATAGTCCTACCTGACCCTCCTTGCAGCCCATGTTCTCCAGGATTAGCACAGGAACAAGACTCTCATGTAAATAAAATCTAAACAAAGCACAGCAGCTCTGCAAAGTACAGACCACCCTCCCTGCCCACTTAGTTAACTTGTAGGATAAAGTCTTTTGATTTTGCACTTGGGGAATTAAAACGCTCTTTAAGAAAGTCCAGAGCATGACGAACACATACTCCTTCAAATTAATAATGCCTCAAAGATAAAAGTTATTACATAGTTTGCAGTTTATTATCAGAGGTGCAATTAAATGTGGTGTTAGGCTGTGGTTTGAGCACTTCACAGCTTGGACAGGCTCTCTCCTGAGACCTAGGGAGGGACAAACTGCTGGTTCACAATTAGTGTGAGCATGTGGGTCTGGATCCTGGTGGGAGAGGAGCCAAGGCTAAGTTCACAGCAGAGCCCTGCTTGTTGGGGCTGGGGAGGTCTTCAGCCGGGCTGACCCCAGGCTCTGGGGAGCCTATCATGATGTGAAGTCTTCCCACTCATGAATAGCCAGTCCTGGTGGTGGCCTATGGTGCCACATCTACTGAAGACATGTCCTCTTAGCATTACTGACTCTCTGGGGAACCTCAACATCCTGTTTTGGATACATCATTGGTTCGGCCAATGGATTCCAGCACCCTCATTCTTATCCTGGTTTCACAGCTTCTGGTGCAGGGAGTGTTTGAAGGGTCTGCCTGGTTGTAGTATTGAGGTGAGAGCAGCAGACATGTGGTGGCCTAGTTGTCTGTAAACATGAACGGTAGGGAACTTTGTTCTTTGACACGCAGTGATGTCTGTGAATTCTGCTGAGTCTTGCCCAGGGCTGGCATGGGTAACTGTCTTACAGGCTGTCCACCTAGGACCAGACTATACCGAGCAGTGAGGGAGCTGGTTCCAGTCTGACTTAAAATGGTGTATCCATGGTTTAGGCTAATACTTTGGTTAACATTGTCTCACCAGATGCCACCAGAAACCTCTGCTAAAGGGTGCAAGGGGCTTGGCAGAGGAGAGTCAAGGGAGGACAGGAATAGAGGAGGGTGCCTATGATGGCAGGTCTGCTCCTATTTCTCTGTAGAAACATGCCTGAGATGCCTACTCACCCTGGGCCTTAGCCCAGGCCTCCAGTAGGAACCTCCAGGCATGGTACCTCATGCTTACAGATCTCTCCTCCACTATTCACCAAATTATTAGCCCAAACAATCTGCAAAACTCTGGTAGAAGTCACAGACACGGTTGGTAGAGGTAGGTGGGTAGTTTGGGGCTGTTGACTAGAGAAAATAAGAACAGCTTTGATGTGTCTGGAAATCCTCTCGATCTTAATCTGGCTGGCTGGTGGCTGCAAGGTTATATATGTGTATGAAAAGTCATCGTCATCAAGCTCTATATTTCAATCTGTGCCATATTTACCCCAACGCACAACACCAAAAGGCGGGTGGGAAATTATGCAGATGCTTCTCATGCCTTACATCCTGCCTGACCCATTTTATTCTGGAGACACGGAGAGTTCTAAGCCTCTACATTCATTACACTTCTTTTGCTTCCTCCACAAATGTGTTTATACCCACATGTTATATTTATATCGGCAGTCACATTTATATATTTAAATCGGCAGAAGAGAGTTATATGTGCATGTCTATATAAAGGGTGGCTTGCTTCTTTCAAAGAACAGGAGGATCCTGGTTCTTTTTTTGTTGTTGTTTTGGTGAGAAGGCTACACTAAGCCTGGAGGCCGCATCAACAACCTCAATGTTAACACTCACCTTGATGATGACCTTGGGGATCGTTAGCATAGTGGACTTCTGCTTAGCCAGGACATCCTTGGTCTGGTTGACCCGGGCTGTGACGAAGAAGTGCAGGGAGGCTTGTTCCAGCAGCTGGCCCATGTACTCGCCGGCTCTGACCAGCACCTCCTCTTCCTTGACTGGCAGGAGGGGAAAAAAAACACACGAAGCATCAGACATGAAATAGAATCTGTCTTATTTTCTCCCAAGTTCCACCCTCTTTCCCACATTCACAAAGCAACAACCTGGGACAAAACAGAGGTGTGGGGCAAATAGAACAAAGAGTCAACTGGGGACAAGATCTTTGTTTCTTTGTCAAAGGGATGTGCTGGAAATGTAATATTCAGTAAAGTCTTACTAGAGAAAATATGTCAAACTTTCATCATAAAACTTGCTGTTGTAAAACAGAATGCCACCACCAAGCAAAATCCGGAAGCTGTCTGTCAGTTTGATTGCATTTATAACAACTCCTTGTGCGTTAGAGTAGAACTGTGCTAGATACAGTTTTCAATGGCTGCCTTTTTGAAAGCATATCACCAGGCCTTTCTTCCAAGGAGCCTCTGGAGTGAGTTTGCACCTGTAACCTTTCCATTTGTAGCCCAAACGTTAACTTAGCCCCCAGCGACTCCACAAAGAAGTTTAACATCGAGGCGCCATTGAGTTTTCAACTGTGACTGCTTGGAGCTGGGCAGAAGAGAACCTCATGAGGGCAAGTGAGGAGGCGCTGAGGATATAGGATTTCATTTCTGGTGCTGCTGCCCTCTCGGAAGAAGCAGCGTCTCACCCAGACACAGACCACATTCACGCACAGCTGTGAACTATGGCAGACATATCCTTGCAGCCTGCATGTTTTCTCACCAGCTTTTCCTGGACCTTCTTGTATCAGGGTATTTTTGTTTTGTTTTTCTGTTTAAGAAGCAAAAGCTGTTGAAACCAGCTTTCACCAACAGCGTTCAACCCTCCACCACCCCTGCCCTGTTTGCGGCTCAAAAGAAGATATCAGTGCCACATGCCTGCTTCTGCACATCACTGGTGCTGGGTTTTCAGGGATTAGGAAGGAAGAACTCTCTCTGGGCCTCCTGGTTCCCTCCCAATCCCTTTCTGGGCTGGGGCTGGGGTTGGGGTATTCTATTTTGTGCGTCTGGATACTGTGATGCCCAAACAGCTGCACTACCCACTGTCTCTGTGCCCACTTTCTCTCGGCCACATAAGTCAAGAGAGCACACAGATCCTCACACAGGCAGATGGGCTGCTACCCGGGCAGAGCCAGGCTGCTGGTGATACTCTGTCAGTTGCAGCCCAGCAGGAGGTGGGAGTGTGAAGGCAGATGATGACTCACTCCTTTGACCCCCACCCACTGAGAATAGCGTCTGTAAACCTCGCCACGGCTTCCATGACCTATCTGGGGCATGTGCCAAAGACCCCTCCTTCAGCCCCTCCGGGGCAATTATTGAAGGATATACCTCTCACAGCCAATATTTTAAACAGCAGAGAGGAGCCCATTTTAGCTCTGGCCACTGAGCTGCAAGCCCTGCCGGGCACTGGGGACCACACAGATTCACATTGGCTCCCAGGCAAGGGTGTATCAGGCCATCTCTGGCCCACGGATGGAACTTTTACACACTATAGCTGGTCTGCAGCAACTTTTTCTAGGAGGTCAGGGAGGCCTTGACTTTGAGTACCTTTATTTCAAGGTCTCTTCATAAATGTGCAGATGACACGAACGTCTCTAGTCCTCCCATAGGGCAGTTCTCAAACTCACTCCAAATTACAATCTCCCAGGGGCCCTGAGGACCTGCTGTGTAAGTTCCTATGCCAGATCAACCCAATCAGAATCTTTCAGGTAAGGTTGGGGCCCAGGGAACAGTATTTTTAAGCATTCACCCAATTCTAAGGTGCAATCAGGGCCCAGATGCAGTGCATAAAAAAACCTGGTAAACCTCACAGAACCAGCCCTGGGAGGTACCAATGGTTAATTTGCCTTGCTGCCAGCCTAAAGGTTAGAGGTTGGGGTTCACCTGGAGGTGCCCCAAAGGGGCCCTGGTGTCACAGTGGGTTAAGTGTTGAACTACAATCTTGAAGGTTGCCAGTTCAAACCCAGCAGCTTCCCTGAGGGTGAAAGATGAAGCTGTTTGCTTTGTAAAGATCTACGGTCTCAAAAACTCTAAGGAACAGTCCTATCGGGTTGCTATGAATTGGAATCAACTAGACAGCAGTGGATTAGCGTACGCTCAGAAGGGAGTGAAAACCATATGGCGCCCAGCTCCACTGTGAGACACATGGGCTCACACTGGGTAAGTGGAAGGCCTGGGTTTCCCTAGTCAAGCTACTCCAGGCATGTCCTCCCAAGAGCAGCAGCACTACCATCTTCTGGAAGCTCGTCAGAAGTGCAGGCTCCCTGACTTCTCCCAGCCCTGTCGACTCAGAGCCTCAGGTAATGCTTGCTAAAATCTGAGCGGCAAGGGGATACAGCTGATTCTAAAAGCAGTTTGGAGTTTGAGAGGAACTCCGCTTTAAAATAGAGAAGTTGTGAGTCACAGAAACCCCCTTAATCCCTCACAAACCAGGACATTCAGCCACTCGTTTTAAATGAGGGGAAATGTTGTCCTCCCCAGAGGACAGCTGGCAATGTCTGCAGTAATACGTGATTGTCACTATTTGGGGATGCTTTAAGAACTTAATGAGTAGAGATTAGGGCTGATATTTAACAGATTTATAAACAAAGAAGTAGCCCATCCCAAATGCTGATGCTGAGGAGACTCTTATTAGACTCCACTGGCTGATGGTAGACAAGTACTAAAGAATTGGCTTGGGTCCTGGGGCAATTCTGTTCCATTTAGAATCTGTTGGAGCTCTTATCTTGCCTTAACCTTGAATGACCCAGTCATTTCACCTTCTTTGGATCTGACCCTGGACCCTGCCTTCTCCACAGCTTCCTAAGCAATTCATTGTTATTTCCAATATTGTCTCTGAATGGGATCCAGCTTGGGTGGAATGTGTGTGGCCTGTAAAAACTTGGCTCCAGATTGGGCCTGGTGGTGTGGCAGCATGGCAGACTTTGAAGAATGTTCAGTTTCCCTCTAGTTCCTCTAGTAATAATACATTCCACATGAACTTCCTTTGGCTCTTTCTAGAAGGATGTGCGGGTCACCAGGTTCCTTTAGGCTCATGGGATATGCCTGACTTCTCCCATGTAAACCCTTTTACAGAGGTTCTTGCTACCTTTATTTATAATCTCAACAAAAGGCCTTCTTTATTTCCTGAGAGAAAATTCCCAAGATCATAAAACTGAAGAAACTGGGTTGTGCTTCAGAGCCCAAGAGAACAGTGCTCCTGAAATAGTATGTTATGTAAGTGCTGTGTTTTGCCACTGAACAAGAAATTGTTCTAGATAAAGTTTATTAAACGTGGCAAGAGGAAGAAGAATAGATTTTCACTATGTGAGTGGTGGAACTGCGATGCTGCCAATATCATTTACGGTGTCTGGGGAAAGCCAGGGAGACACTGACTGGAGCTGCCTCATCTCTTTTCCAAAAAGCAAAGAAAGCTAAATATATCCAAGTGGAAATGATAGCACCTTTGAAGGTACTGGAAGGTTTAATTTATTCAAATCTTCCAGCTGACTGCAGCCCACATAGTTCCCTTTCATCATCAATCTGGAAAGTATGCCTTCAGTTCTACTTGGGAAAGTTTCTTTTCAATAGAGGCAGCTAGAAATCTGTGTCTTGGACCTGCTTGATCAAGGCCTAGGATTATATTTCTTTCCACCATTTAGACAGCTGTTTATTACACGTAACTACTACTGTTACCTACAGGAGAGGCCAAATATTCTCAAGGTCTTTTTGAGGTGCTCAGGAGAAGACATTGGGATGGGCCGAGTGGGCAGGAACTGTGCTAATACTGAGTCAGGCTTAGGCTTGGTCCACTGTCCCTAAGAGGGATAATAGCTCATGCTACCTGTCTCACTGAGGTAGAGCTGTTCATGGGTAGACTTATTACCTTCCAGATAGAAGACCAATCTGATTCCCAGTCAATGTGCAGCCACCATCCATCAGCCAGCGGATGCTGGTGTGTTTCTATGCTACTGCAATGGTTTTAGCAGAGCTTTTAAGCTATGATGGACTGAGAAAAAAGGCCCGACAATCTCCTTCTAAGAATCACCCAATGAAAAGGTGAAGATCATAATGGTTCGATTTGTAACCAATCATGGGGATGACACAGAAAAAGGCAGCAGTTTGATCAATTGATTCAGGAGTCGACTTAATGGCAGATAACAACAACAATTTACCTCACTAACTTATATCCACTCATTGCTTTATTGGATAAAGGGAGAAAGAGGAAGGAAATTAGGTGACGGGAATATTAGGAAGAGGGCCAGGTTCATTCACATTTCCCTGTCCAGGAGAGTTGGGGCAGCACCCATGTTGGACCCCATGTATGGGGGCATGGGTATGGGAACTGGTGAATTTAGGTCCTACTTTTATAGAGAACTTGATCACTGTCACGGCCTGACTGGAATTGAGCTTCTTCACACATTTTGTTCACTTTGTCAATTCGCTTTTCTAATCTCTGTTTCCCAAAATGTAAAAGTGTTGAAAATTGGCATTTACTTGAAATTTATTATGTACTAACCATTTCACATATATCGTTGTCTTTAAGTTTCTTCATGCCTGCCTTCTCTCACATCACACATCTAATTCATCAGCCAATTTAGGGGACTCTACTTGGATTGTATTGTATTGTACTGATTGTATGAAGAAGAATATGGCATTGGGATTGCAGGAAGGCTTATTAATGACCTGTGATATGCAGATGACACAATCTTGCTTGCTGAAAGTGAGGAGGACTTGAAGCACTTGCTGATGAAGATCAAAGATTGCAGTCTTCAGTAGGGATTACAACTCAGTGTAAAGAAGATCAAAATTCTCACAAGCAGACCATATAGAGGACATCATGATATATGGAGAACTATTTGAAATTGTCAAGGATTTTGTCTCACGTGGATCCACAATCAATGTTTATGGAAGGAGCAGTCAAGAGATCAAAAGATGAGTTGCATTGGGTAAATCTGCGGCACAAGACCTATTTAGAGTGTTGAAAAGTAATGATGCCATTTTGAGGACTAAGTTGTGCCTGACCCAAGCCTCATATGTGTGTGAAAGTTGGACGTTGAATAATGAAGACCCAAGAAGAATCGATGCATGTGAATGGTGGTGCTGGAGAAGAATATTGAAAGTCCCATGGACTTCTAAAAGCACAAACTGACCTGCCTTGGAAGACATAGGGCCAGACTGCTTCTTACAGGCAAGGATGATGAGGATTCATCTTAGATAATTTAGACATGCTGGCAGGAGGGAATAGTCCCTGGAGAAGGACATCATGCTTGGTAACGTAAAGGAGCAGCAAAAAAAGTGGAAGATCTTTAACAAGATGGATGGACAGTGGCTACATAAATGAGCTCAAATATAAAAACATTGTGAGGACGGTGCAGGACTGGGCAGTGTTTTGTCCTGTTGTAAACAGGGTTACTGTGGGTCAGAACTGACTTGATGGCCTCTAACAACAGCAACACATCTAGAACATACTCAGATCTGATAACTTCTCACCTCTCCATTACTACTACCTCCATATCTTCCCCACACTACTGTAGCAGATGACTACTGGTCCTTAAATGCAAGCCATGCTTCTCCTAGAGTCTATTCTCAACATAGTAGCCAGAGTGACTTTCTAACTTCTAACAAGTATTAGCACACTGCTGCTCAAAACCCTCCAAGAATTTTCCACCTGTCTTAGAAACAGTCAAAGTCCTTACAAGCAACTACAATTCTTTACATGGTTAGCACCTCTGTCCCACAATGACCTCTTATACCTCCCCTCTTTGTCTCCTTGTTGATCATTGAACACATGAGACATACTCTAGCCTCAGGGTCTTTGTGTTTATGGTTTATTCTGGCTGGGGAGCTAGCTCTCTCGTGAACCACAGGGTCCATTCCTGCCCTCTGGCATGTCTCAGTTAAAGGGACCCTATTAAAGAGGCCTTCCCTGATAACTCCTACACATTACTTATCCTCATTAACCTACTTCAGATCTCCATTGTACTTAATACCATCAACACATGACACCTTCACTGCTTGGTTGTTTATTGCTTGGTTATAATACCTTCACTGCTTGGTTGTTTATGCCCCACTGAAATTGTCAAGGGTTTCCTTTTACTTGGATCCATATTAAAAACTTCTAGGAGCGTAGTCAGGAAATCAAGTGACTATTGCATTAGGAACATTTTCTGTAAAAGATCTCTTTAAAATGTTAAAGAGCCAAGATGTTGAAGACAAAGTTGTGCCTGGAGCAACCCATGTGTTTTCAGTCATCTCATGCATGCGAAAGCTGGACAGTACATAAGGAAGACCAAGAAGACTTTCCACTTTTCAATGATGGTGCAGACAAAGAGTATTGCATATACGATGGACTTCCAGAAGAAGAAACATGTCTGTCTTGGACGAAGAACAGCCAGAATCCTCCTTAGTAATAAGGATGGTGAGCTCTCGTCTCATAAACTTTGAACAGTTTTCAGGAGGGACTATCCTCAGGAAAAGGTGGGCCTTTGGCAAAGGAGGGCCTTTGGCAAAGTCAAGGGCCATTGACAAAGAGGGAGACTCTCAATGAGATGGATTGACACAGTGGTTTCAACAAGGAGCTCCAAAATAACACAATTGTGAGGACGATAGAGGACTGGGAAGTGTTTCCTTCTGTTAAATATGGGATTATCGTGACTCAATACTGAGTTGATTGTACCTAACAATAACAACATCCCACTAGACTGTAAAATCCATAAGGATGTCTGTTTTATGTGTTCCTATAGCTCCAGCACAAAATAGTACCCTGGCTTGCATGAACTAAATAAAGATCTGAAGCATGACTCAACAACATTCTGTTGTAGGCAGTGTTATCTCCACGCGCAGAGGAAGAGAGTAAGCGCAGATTGCTTTTAAAGTACTGAAGCTGAGGTTCTCTGTATCTAATATACCTAACTGATCTAAAAATTATGATGACTGTTTTCTTCTTGATTCCTTGATACTGAATCATCTTCTCTAAGAATATGAAAGGGGTTAAACCTCTCCAGTATCCAGGAAAAACACCGGAATGATTAAATTATTACCTATATAACTGAAGCCAGGATGACTTCTTCTATGCATTTTGGATTAGTTTCTTGGAATTGGAAGTTTTATAAATGGCTCCCACTTTTTCTAGGTTTTTAGGAGGCGAGTTCTATACATGTTGTTTGGTTATCTGTCAGTTACATATTAGTTTTGATAATCTCTGCTTTATCAACATGTTATTGGCATAAGTTTATTCCTTCTTCTTTTCAGATCACCAGTTGAACAGGATTATATTCAGGTCAAGAGAATATACTGAAAGTGTTCAACCTTCCTGACCTACTTGATCCAGCTCAACACATTGTGACTGAAGTTCGCCCACTTGACTCATTCTGCCAGTTGCATGAAAGCTCACTGTGCCCACTAATAACCAATACCCTCAAGAAATGCAATTAGTTAAGACCCCAAAGGCAGGCCTCCACATGCTATTCACCAAATTTCTTAAATGCTATTAAATTTCAACAGTGAAAAAGTTCTTGGATGGACATGTGTGCAAGGAAAGTTGGGAAGGGCCCAGGATGTGGAAGAGGTGGTGAGAGTGATGGAAGTGAGAGCCAAGAACTTGACGGTTCCAGGATAGCACCTTCTGGTCTTTGTCCTCCTCCCTGGGACTCAGCATCCACTCAGTGGTGATGAGAGTTTATTGTGAACTGACCCATTCAGACCTATCATTGTTAAGAACTAGCCTTGGACCGAGGATATGTGTCCCTGTGTTATGAGTTGAATATTGTCCCCCCAAAGGCATCTGGAAATCCTAACCTCTGTCACTATATATGTGACCTTGCTTCAAAAAGGGGTCTTTGAAGATGCCATCAATTAAGTTAATGTGAGGTCATACTAAAGTTGAGTGGTTAATAACCCTTCCGAGAGGCCTTATGAAAGAGGAGACATTCTACAGAGACAGACAGAAAAGAGGACCTGGGGCCTGGGGCCATCCAAAGCTGTCAGAGACAAGAAAGGATCTTCCTTTGGAGCCCGCGGAGAGAGGACGAGCCTAAAGATACTCTGAAATCAGACTTGTCATCTCCAGACTGTGAGACGATGATGCTCAATTCTTATGAACCACTCGCTTTCTGGTACTTTGTTATGGTAGCTCCAGAACAATTAATACACCTTGCTTTCTAAATGGTGAATCAAAACACATAATTCCTGCTGCTACTTGGAGGGAGAGGAACCCTTCGGCAGTCTGATTTCTGATTTAAGATCAGAGCTTCCTGTACCTCCCAGTGCATATGAGTGGGGATCTGACTATAATGCTGATGCCTACACCCCAGACCTGGGGGACAGCCTCTCCAGGAATACTGAGGCTTCTGGTCCTCTAATCAGACTTTGAGTAGCAAGAATTTAAGATAAGTTAATTTGCATATTTCACTCCATAAGGCTCTAAGCTTTAAGAATGTCAGCATTTATCGGTACATGCGACATGAAAATGACAGTTGAGGCTTGGGGTTCACTCGAGTTCTGAGAAAGAACTTCTGTTTTGACAGAATGCTATTGGGGGCTCAGGGGGGTCATTACCAAGGCAGACAGGCAGCCGGATCACAGGTTGTAGAGAGAGTCATACGCTTTTAACTTACAGGATAAGGGCTCCAGTGTGACCTCAAATGTCTCCTTCTTGAACTCGGTCTTGGAGACCCCGGTGTAGAAGGTGATGTTGCCTGAGAGATAAGCTGAGACGGTGTACCGGTTGGAGCTATTGTTCTGGAACATGATGGTGATTTTGAAGTCTTTACCCAGCACGGCATTTCCCACTTTAAAGTCCATGTCAACATCTGACTGTGGCTTGACGATGCTTTCTGTGTTGAGGGGCTTTTTAGCTCCATACATCAGGGCAGTTTCCAGGGCCAACCTTTCCTCTTCTTGACCTAAGAAAATTCCAGAGAGAGTGACAGGAGAAGAGAAGATGCAACCCATCAAGAAGAAAGTGCATTAATAAGCTCCCACTCTTCAGCAGAATTTGCAAAAAGCCACCTTCAGTCACAACTTCCCTGTGAGCTGGTGGCATCACTAGCCCCAACCTATAAATGATGGGAAATCGGGTTTTGAGAGTTAATGATCCACCTAGGTTACTGAGTTAGTATGTGGCAGAGCCAGTGTCTACCTGGAGAGGCTGTTGCTCTAAGGGTTGTATCTCTAGTGTTATGTTTCAGGATTAAACAGGAAAAATTGGTAAAACCTAATTTGTCTCAAACTGTGCTAGCCTCGCCGTATGACTAGTATGGACTTAGGAGTATGAAGAGGCTATGTGCTCACATTAAAATGTATAGCCTAGGAAAGCGGATAGAGAGTTGCTTAGAGTGAGAATTGAATTGATGGCATTGAGCTTGGAGGATTGGAAAGTTTCTTGTCTGTTTTTTTTTTTGTTTTTTTTGTAGTATAGCTTAACTGCACGGTTGGTGGTACTAGCCCAACAGCCACTCCAAGGGAGAGAAATGATGCCGTCGGCTTCTGGAAATATTTAGTGTCAGGGACCCAAGGTTACAGTTCTGCAATCTATGGGGTCATTGTGAGTTTCAACCAACTTGATGGTAGTAGGTAGTGAGTGAAGTATTGATTTTGAACTCATTCTACCTTCTGCAATATGAATTTTCTCTGTTCATGGGGGTACCTTGGAAGTCCTCATCCCCTCCCAAAACAAGATATATCTCCTTCATCTCTCCTTCCAGTTGGGGCTGCCTTCCTTGATCCTGGTTGTGCTGACCTGAGAGCAGCTGCTCATCTCCTCACCTGCCTTCCCTGTGACACCTGTCCAGGCAGAATTCAGAGCTGGCTGGCCCCACAGCATACAGATCTAACCAGCTGCCTTTGAGTTGACTCTGCTTATGGGCACCCATATATGTCAGAGTAGAGCCGTGCTCACTGGGTTTGCAGCGGCTGCTTTTCCTATAACTTGCTAGGCTTTTTTTCCCTGAGGGATCCTTGGGTGGGCTGGAACCTCCAACCTTTATGGTAGGGGCCAAGCAAGTTAGCAGTTTGCACCTTACAGGGGCTCCCACTCTGATCTAGCTTGATGATAACACAAGAAGATCCTTTAATAACGTTTCTCTGGGGCCTAGTGCCCTCGGAGAATAGACCTTCCACAGTGCCCCTGGTTCTGCACAAAGCTCATTGGCCTACCTAAAATTCTGAGACAGCCCTACCACAAAGAGATTTGTTGTTCTTATACAAGAGTCCCTAAACTCAGGTGACACCGAACAGAGTCCCTGGAGGAACAACTCTTGGCATCCGGCAGTGCACACAAGTTCCCGTGGAGTTTGAGATACGCGTGCTGCTTTTAGGGAACCATCTCTGGACAATTTCCCAGGTGGCGTGGTGGAGATGAAAGGAGGGGGGAGAGAGAGAGGCAGGGCACCGGGGAAAGAAAAGCATGGCTTCGTTCAGGTGTCCACTGCCCTAGAGTTAAGTCAGAGTGACCCCATGAGACAGAGTACAACTAACTGTTTCTGAGATTAAATCTGGACCGAAGCCCATCTTTCTCCCAAGAAGAGGCAAGTAGATTTGAACTCCTTAACCATCAGTTTAATACTTAACTCACTGCCCACCGGCACTCCTTTTGTTCAGGCATGGAAACATGAAGTTCAAGGCAGGCCTTGTAGTTTATTGATCCAGATGCCTAAAGGCTGCGATGCCACTCTTTACTAAGCTCAAGGTCGAGGGGTGCATAGGGATTACAGTTGTTTGCTTTCCCACCCAAACACCATTGAGTACACCTTAGTGTGAGATGGAGGGTAGAGATGAATCCACCTTTTTTTCTGTTAGCAAAAACTCCTCAGTGAAATAGTAAATCCAAAACCATATATTTTAAAAAATTGCTAGCATTTATAATTACGCTACCTTTAAGACATTGGCTTCCAGGTTACCTGTCTAAGAGTGAAATGCAATGGAGGTTGAGAGACCAATGACTAGTAGCAGCTGTCATTGAGAACTAACCATTTTGGAAGTGTTTATTGTAAATTCTGTCATTTCATCTTACTTTGTAAAATGAGGGGGCCTCCCTCCACTCTGGTCAGGTCGATTGAAGAAGATTTATGCAGAGTGTCGGGTCATGGGAGAGGCGACTAAATGAAAGCCAAGGTTAAGGGAATGCCAGCAGGCACAGCAAAGAAACGTGGGTGCACGTGCTCACAGGAACTAGTTCTCTGTGGTCAAGACTGCGAAAAGGTGTCAAAAACTATTGGTGTAGGCTAAGCTTTGGGAACATGAGCTCAGGCAGCAATAAAGGAGAGGGGATGCTGCAGAAGTGAAAATGCCATGGGATTCTCCCACAAAAATTGACAAGAGAACTCAGGGGGAGGGAGCATGAATGATAGTTTGGTTGGGAATCCACAACGGGCATGTAGGTAGAACACATGGGCAAAAACAGCAGTGGGAGCAGGAGCAGAGAGGGGCTGGCTTGACGGAGGGGCTGACATGATAGGAAGTTCCTAGGGGATCCTTAACAGGCTGGGCTGCTAACCGAGAGTCTAGGAATTTGAGTCTAGCCAGAGACACTTTGGAGAAAAGACTTTTGGGTCTGATTCTGAGAAATCAGCCCGTGCAAACCCTCTCAAGCACATGTCTACCCCCACACACCTGGGGTCATCCCTAACTGGGTCCTCTCTTCACACCACTAACTAGCATATCAAAGGATTTTCTTTCCTTTTCCTTTTCCCAGTACTTGCACGCCACATGGTGTGACATCATTCCATTCTCCCAACAGAAGGTAAGCTTTACAAATCCACCTGTATGTCACTCCAACCCAAGTTCCATCTGGCACAGGGGCTCTAAATGACTGCAGTTTAGATAAGGGTTTTGCTTTCAGAGACGGAGCATTTATCTTTGTGTTGCTTTTAGCTGCATCAAATCAGTCCCATTGCCCAAACCCATTGCCATTGAGTCAATTCTGACTCAGAGTGGCCCTATAGGACTAGGTAGAAATAGCCCTTTGAGTTTCCAAGGTCGTAAATTTTTGTGGGCGCAGAAAGCCAGATCTTTCTTCCTCAGAGAACCATCAGGGCTCCTTAGATGAAGACCAGACAGCTGTTATTCATATAGTTTTCATCAGCCTAATTTTAGAAGTAGATTACCAGGCTTTTCTTCTGAGTGCCTCTGGGTAGACTTGTACCTGCATTCATTCAGTTAGCAGTGGAGGGGGTTGAGTTAGTTAATTGTGCCAGCCTGGCTGATAATCACATGTGGGGCTAATTGAAAGGCGGAGGGATAAATGGGTGGTGAGCCTCGCCTTTCTAGTTCTCGGGTCTCTTG